CTCCTCCTCCTCCTCCTCCTCCTCCTCCTCCTCCTCCTCCTCCTCCTTTTTTTTGAAAGAATTTCAAAAGTAGATTGCTATTCATTGACCTGCATAAAGTGAAACTCAAGCAGATAACTATATTTTCTGCATTCAAATCCTGGTTTAATGCTTGTTAGGCACAATTAGCAACAGCTTCTGTGCTTAGATGCTATGGAAGAACTGCAAAGGAAGGAAATTGACACCAATTAATGCAGAAATAGTGGAAAAAAGGGGACTCGTCAGCAGTCTCAGTCCAATAACAGAATAACAAGAGTTGGAAGGAACCTTGGAGGTCTTCTAGTCCAACTCCTACTCAAGCAGAAAACCCTACACCATTTAAGAGAAATGGTCGTCCAATCTCTTCTTAAAAACCTCCAGTGTTGGAACACACACAATTTCTGGAGGAAAGTCGTTTCACTGATTAATTATTTTACTGTCAGGTAATTTCTAGGTTCTAATTCAAGAAACTATGGCAGTATTTCTTAACCTTGGGAACTTGAAGATGTGGCTGCCTGGCAAATTCCAGGAATTGAAGTCCATATATCCTCAAGGTGTCAATGTTGAGAAACACTGAACTCTTGGGCAAGTTGAAATTCTGTCTGCTCCATCTCTGGAGGTTTAAAAAACAAAAAACAAATTAGACAACCATTTGACCAGGATGTCAAATAAGTCTCCTGCCTTGATCTGATCTTTAAGAGAGCATTAGAAACACAGGAGTATCTGAAATATACCTTTCTCATCCAGGGAAAATAGAATAAATGATGACAGTTTTGGATAAAAGGACTATACACAATATCCTTGAACTGGATTTAGGTCCAAAGAAAAAGACTGTAGAATGTTGTCAAAGATTAATAGTGGGATATTTTCTTCATCTATCGAGTTATCCAGTGAACTTGCTGATAAAGACTGAAGATCATGGATGAAAACACCATGCAACCCAAAATCATAAGGTGGTCTTCTAGTCCCCCTGAACAAGGCAGGAGATCTTATACCAGAGATGGCTAACCTTTCCGTCCTCACGTGCCAAAAATGTGTACGCATGCCAGCACCCATAAGGCAATGCACGCGGGGGCCATCACGCCCCCTGCGCATGCATGCACGATCCCCTGGGCGTACGCTGTGCATCTCTGTGCATGCACGGGCGACCTCCCCATGCGTGCCACCCGTTTCTGCGCATGCACGCCCATCTCCTGCATGCCCCCCGCCCCTGCGTGGCAACTACCCAACGATCAACTGGTGGGCAGGTAGCACACGCGCCTGTGCAGTGGACCTGCTTTGGGGTGACGGCTTGCATGCCGGCAGAGATGGCTCTGCATGCCACTTTTGGCAGACACACCATAGGTTCACCATCACGGCCTTATACCATCATGGTCAAATGGTTGTCTAGTTTGTTTTTTAAAATCTCCAGTGATGGAGCACCCACAATTTGTTGTGGTTAGCCGGCAGCAGGTGCAGATGGCTGAGGAGAGCGAGGACTCAGATGAGAGGCCAGGACCATTAGGAAGTAGACTGCTGCCTTCAGAGATTGTGGGGGCTGGCAGCAGTGATGAGGAGGTTCCTGAGGAGCCTGTGCCAAGTGCATGTGCAAGCAGGATTGCTCGTAGGAAAGAGCAGCTACAACAGCATGGTTGACTCGGGGGTAAGGCTGCAAGGTAATGGCCTCTCCTTCAAGAAGATAAAAGCCAGCTGTGAAATGAACGTTCTTTGCAGAAGGCAAAGACATTTTGAAACTCCAGCCTTGTGGACATTCCAGTATGCTGAGTTTGTATTTGAAGATTCTTGTATTGCAAATTATTTCTTCCCTGTTATCTTTTGGCAAGTCTCGCACAGTTTGGCAAGGCTTGTGCTTATCACAGTTAGTTATTTTGTAAAAGCATTACAAGGTTTCTGTTCCTTTTGGATTGTGTTTGATTTGTTGGGAAAGGGCTTGGGTCAGAACACAATTCTGGGTGGCAAACTATTCCATTGATTATTTGTTCCCACTGTCAGAAAATGTTTTCTTATTTCTACCGGAAGGTTGGATCTCTCTTTCATAAGCTGTCACTTATTACCTCTTGTCCTATCCTCAGGTGCTTTGGAGAATAAGTCGATTCCCTTTTCTCTGTGTCCTCATAAAGTAGTCATAAGGTGTTATTGTCTTGTCTACAGCGCTTTCGGAAAAGCCTGCCCCCTGGTCTTCTACGGCGAGTGTCGTCCACTTGGACAACAACCACCTCTGCCACTGGTTTACCCACGTTGGAGCCAGCTTCTGTTAGAAGGGACCGCAGTCCCAGCATCAAACTTTATGATACGTCATCATCCAGGTAGGAAAACAATTGCAGATTTTTAAATTTAAGATCTTTAAAGTTGCAAAGGTTGAGAGATACTGACAAAAGGGAATAAAGTAAAAATAGACTTCAGATACGAATATAAGTCTTAACTACTTGGTATATTTGATATAAAAAGATAATTCAAGTTAAAAAAAACAACAACAAATATAAACTCTAAAACATTAGTGAATAGTCAACAAATCTAAAATACCACATGATTAATGCACTCCAGTAGAAGCTTATAATGCTATAAACTGCTCAGAGTTACCTTGAATTGTTAGATGGGCAGCAAATAAATTGACAAATTCAGTATCAGTCAATTGCAGAAGGCAGCTTTACTCAAAACAGCTTACATCCTGAGACAATTGTGGAGGTCCTTGTTTAATGCAATTTAAGTCATTAGTAGCAAAAAGAGAACCTCTAGGTGATAAGACACACTACTGTAAATTATTTGTTGGTTCCACGTTATTACCTTGACCTACCACTGTGAAATAGATCAGGGGGTTCACGGAATTGTAGACAAGGAGAGGAATCCGCAATTATCAGGGAATTTATGTGGGTCAAAAAATGGTTGCTCAGAGGTTTTCCAATTTTGACAACTCCTAGATTTATGTATCAACTTTTGGAATTTTCCAATTAGCATAGCTACTGCTGAGAATTCTGGGAGTTGAAGTTCATACAGCTGTAAGATACCTAAATTGGAAGGCACTCGTTTGCACCTTGAATTTTCCTGCTAGGAAAAGTAATAAGTCTGGAATGTTCTGTACATAGCCAAGGGCAATAAACTCACGGTGAGACTTTATAGGTGGAATTATCCAAAGCAAAGAATCTCTTCTCCATTCTTTTTGGCAACGAAGATATTTTCCCTTACCTTTCCCTGGTACGTATTGCATTTGAAGATTGTTTCAATAAAGGAAACTGTGGGACTCCTTATTGACAGGAAATTGTACTCACACAATATATCAGAAATTAGAATATGTGAGGAATATGAAACCTGAAGAGATCCATTTCCTACCTTCTGAAGCTCTTCGGTTAACAAATACAAAATTGTAGTCTTCCCTCTGCATCACAGTTAGAGTCAGGTATTCTTACCTTTTCCATTCAGCCGAGTGTCAACCCGCCAGCTAGAAAATCAACTGCATTTTTATTTTTAAAGATTTTATTAATTTTCAATAAACAAACATACACAAACAAAACACAAAACATGAAAACATAAAACTTCTTTTTGGAAAGCGGCTTAGTCCCGGGTTACATCTTTTTGTACAGACATAAATTCGAATTCATGCTCACTTTATATACCATTTCATATCTTATTTACCATTCTACATTTTCTATATAGCTTCTCCCCTCTTTTCACTCTCTTAATTCTGTTTTATTTATTTCATCTCAATTTAAATCATTATGCTTATATCTTTTGTCTGTTCTGTTTCAATTATCTATTATCTTTTCTCATTAACACAAAATTTCTCCTGTAATCACTGATTGAAGTATGACGCCTTTATATCTTTCCCCTAAGTTTAACACTTAATATAATATATAATTTTCATTCTGATTCTGCTTAGTACATTCTAAGGCTACGTACTATATTTTAAAGTAAGAAAGGAAACTAAGTTTATAATATAATTAAAACAATAATCCATAGCAAATTAAACTCTATCATTAGGTCTTACACATTCCTTTTAATATTTTATCCCATTTTATAATCATATAATGTTCCAGTTTTCTAACATTATTTCAAATATAAATACAACAATACAATCTTATGTACTTTTGCAGAATCTCTTTTTTAACTATATTTTTACCCATTATCTCTGAATAAATCCTGTTTCTTTACATCTTGTTTCAAGCCTTTGTAACTTCTCTTCCCTTTTTCTCTTCTTTTCTTCTCCAATCTAACCTTTTTACCCCCTTGTCTCTTGATCTCCACCCTCTTAATCTCCACTCTCTTCTGTATTCCTCTTTTCTGTTGCTTTCTAACATTGTATCGATTTTTCACCTTATTTTTCCTTTTTTTGGTTTTTTTTTAAGTCTTAAATTCTCCATTCTCTTTCCCTTCTTTCCCTTTTCTTCCCCAGCTAAAGTTGCTTGTTCATTAAAGATGGCTTCTTCTTCATCCCAATTTTCTTGTTCTTGTAGTTTCTGATAGGTAGAAATCACCATTTCTAGGAAATGGAAAACAGATCCAGAAGAGCCCTTCCCTTCTTGTTCCTCTTCTTTTAGTTTTTTAAATTCCATTTTCAGTTCATCAACAAGTAATGCCATTGTGAAAACAATTTAAAAACAACCCAAATGTTTTTAGTCTTTCAAATAATAATTTCCAAAAGTCCCAAAGTCACCGGGCAATCCAAATATACACAGACTGTTTCATTTAGCACTTTCTTCTTTTTATACTTTCTCTTCCTGGGGTTACAGTTCAATTGCAAAGTTCCAATTAAAATGTATCTTTTAGAAGTCTTGTTACAATTTTGCTCTAGTCTTATAAATTCCAAGCAGCCTCCTCAAGCAAAATCTTAATATTAATTCTTTTCCTCTCCCTTCCCACTTATAGCAAAGAAAGTTTTTTTTTCCAATGTTCAGAAATCTTTATTGTCCCCCTTGGCTTTAATTTTCAAATTTAATTACCTGCTGATGCCAAAATGGGTTTTTCTGATTTCTTGCTCATCTGCTATCACCGTAAGGAAGGGGAGTGAGAAAAAACAATCTTTCCCTCTTCATTTTCAATCGCTGCTTTTTCCAGGTCTTTGGGAGCGATGTATCTTTAATGAAATTTAAGTTCCAGGGTATTTAAATGCTACTTGTTATCTCAGTCAGCCAAAAACTTTCACTTCTCAGCTTCCTCCTGCACATTCTTATCGGGATGAAAGCTTCTTTGTGGCGGCCATTGCTGACTGCCGCTCCACCGCCTTTGGAAAAGGGAGTTTAGCCAGCTGAGGAGGGGGGTTGCGATCCCCCCTGGACCCCTGTCGGATCTCCCCTGTCTTCAGTTACCTCTACGGGGTAACTATAACCCCCAAATCCGACTGGATCGGGGGCACTCCAGCGGCGAGTGCAGCAGAAACCGCGCACGATCGCGGATTCCTGCCGCCGCCGAAGCCTTACAAACCGGAAGTCCATCAACTGCACTTTTTTTTTTTTATAAAAGTTTTATTGATTTTAACAACAAATAAAAACACATAAAACATAAAACATAACATAAGAACATCATCATTCTTCATAAATTTACAGACAGTGTATCGGTTGGTTTATCACTCCTTTTTGTGCATCTATTTCATAGTCATCATAATAATTATGTTACATAATAACTCATATTATCAATCAACAATTATATATCCTAATATCCTTATTAAACAATCATTTGACTATAATTTAACTAATTCATGCTTAAGCGAGATAACTATAATTTAGTTAATTTATAACAAATCGTAAAATCATACCAAATCTATCTTAATATAATATTCTAAAAATATTATCAAAACCAAAATATATATATATTCTATTATTATATTGTTTTATCTAACCATTGATAAAAAAGATCCCAAACTTCATAGAATTGTTTATCTTCTTGTTCTCTAATTTCAAATGTCAATCTACTCATTTCAGCACATTCCAGTATTTTCTTAATAATTTCTTCCTCTAATGGTATTTTCTCACTCTTCCAATTTCTAGCAAATACAATCCTAGCCGCTGTTAACACATTTACAATCAAATACTTTAAGTTTTTATTAAATGTATCAGGTAAGATTCCCAATAGAAAAATCTCTGGTTTCAAATCTATATGTTTTTTTGTCATTTCTTCCAACCATATGCGAATTCTAGTCCAGTATTTCCTGGCCTCCTCACAAGTCCACCACATATGGTAATATGAGCCAGGGATCTGATGACATTTCCAACACTTTTCGGATTTATTCTTGAACATTCTTGCTATTCTTGTCGGGGGAAAATGCCACCTGTAAAACATCTTATACAAATTTTCTTTATATGCTACTGACATTGTCATTTTATAATTTTGAGACCACAATTTTTGCCATTTTTCTAAATCAATCCCATATCCAAAGTTCTTCCCCCAAACAATCATTGTTTCTTTGACTTGTTCTTCCTCTAATTTAATTTCCAACAAATAACTATATAGTTTTTTAATCACTTTTTCATCAGCACCTGTCAAAATCCCATCTAAATCAGTCAATTTATCATAAAATCCTTCTGTTTTAGAATCTTTAAGATACCTTGAGTGTATTTGCGCATATGAAAACCAATTCATCTTTATATCTTGTTCTTCTAGCTTTTGCATCGTTTTAAGTTCACCCTTTTCATCCAGTATTTCCCCATATCTAACTGTTTGTTCCTTCTTATAAATTATGGGATAGGAAAAAGCTTCAATAGTTGATAACCAAACTGGAATTTTCAAATAACATTGTTTCTTAATTTTCTCCCAATTCAACCATAACGATTCCCGTATATAGTGCCTTCTGAAATAACCCTGCGATTTAGTTCCCTTATACCATAAAAAAGCATGCCAACCCAATAATAAATCATGTCCTTCCAATGCCAGTAATCTAGACTTTCTTAACGTTATCCATTCTTTAACCCACATTAAATTTGCAGCTTGATAATACAACTCCCAATTAGGAAGGCCAAATCCTCCTCTAATTCTAGCATCCTGTAAAAGTTTTAGTTTTATTCTCGCTTTCTTACCTTGCCATATATACTTCAACACCATTTTATTTAATTCATCAAAATAGTCTTTACCAAGCCTAATTGGTATTGTTTGAAACAAATATAAAATTCTGGGTAAAATATTCATTTTAATTGTTGAGATTCTACCTATCAAAGATAATTGTAGATTTTCCCATTTTTTCAAGTCAGATGCTATCTGCTGTTTAAGTTTAATATAATTATTCTCTTTCAGTGTAGTACATCTTGACGTCAAAATTATCCCCAAGTATTTAACTTTATTCGTAACTTGAATTTTCAATAAGTCTGCCAACTCTTCTCTT